TCCTGCTGATCTCTAGTGACTGTAGCTGATCAAATTCTACAGTGCAAACATTTTCCACTTATGTTGGGTTTCATCTGCTCTAACTTAGGTATGTAAAGTTTATGTTTGAGTTAGTGATCCATAGCTCCCTGTACAGTCAATGAGATAAGCATCTCCAGAGGTCCATTAACTGCCCTAAAGTAGATGTCTGCAACAGATCAGAGTGGGGTGCCGCTCTCTGCTGAGAACAGGGGGACTTACAGTGCCTGGCTCAAACTTTGACACCTGGTTTCCAGAGCTGGGTGAGAGTAGCATGTTCAGGGGACTGTCCCTCTCATTCTGCCCTGGTTGTGGCCACAACTATTTTTCATCAAACTGTTCTGTGTGTCCTATTAAAACACCACCATCATCCTGACAAACCCCAGCTGTGTTGCTGTGGAGCAGGGGATTTGAACTGAAGGATAAACATTTTTTCCGAACATTTAAAAAATCCTTCTACTTCATGTTTATATCAGCGTAGTGCAATGGGGGCTTTAACCTGTAACACAACTGGGTACGTGAGCAGCAATGCAGTACAACAAAGCAAAATAGCTTATTTTTTTATGGCTATGTCTAAATAGAGCAGGCCAGGGACCACCTTTTGGACCTGCAGCCAGTGGTCAGGGACTGTTCCTGGGATCAGAGTAACTGTGACACAGCTCACTCCCTCTGAACAGGATGGCTATGTCCAATGTGCCTGGTGGGAATGACCCCCAGCTTTTGTTATCCTCCAAACTGTGCTTAGGAATTGCTTGGGAAAGTGCAAACTGCCATGGGCTAAAATTGTGCAAGGGAGTGTGCCAGCAATTCAGAAGTACACACAACCATGCCTTGGCCTCATTTTAGTTAACAGTGTAGATGTAGCTTCAGAATATTTTTTCATGGACTAAAGGGAAATTGACAAATGACTGAAAGACTCATCCTGGATGAGCCTCCCTTCAAAGGCAACCATACTGTCTAATATTTTTTGGAAATTTACAACTTCCATGAGCATGCAAATTAGATTTGTTTTGCCTTCCTTTCTCTCTCTTTTTTTTTTTTTTTTTTTTTCAAGATTATCTGGACACTTTTATCTAGATACTATTATCTGTATACTTTTGTCTAGATACCACCTCCAATTAGATACAACAGTTTGTATCTAAGGAAACATTTCTTTCTAGCCTACAAATTCAACTGGATATTTACAAAAACATGTAAACACCCTTATCGGATTCCAGGATCATTTTGGGTTTGGACAGTTTGTGAGGGAATTGGAAGGCTGATAATATATGTTGTTAATTGCTCTTTAGTATGGCTCAGTTGCTTTCTTGAACCAGGAAATTACTGCTTTCAAACCCTCTAATACTAAGAATAATACATTTATTTTTGGTAATATTACGCATAAATTGATTGATTGGATCATCTTTTCACATGTCAGTTTAAATGCAGGTTCTACAGGAATTCAGCTTGGACAGACTTGGCCTATGTACAAATAAACCTATTATTAAATGCTCCAGACATCATTATTGTAGTGTTACAATACTGTTTTCCTAGCTGAGGCATTAAATACTAAATGGTCTTTCAGCTACTGTTATGGCTTTTTCCTCACTATTTATTGGAGTGGGTTGAAAAAAGCCATGATAAACCCATCAAGCATAAAACAAAAAGGAAAACCAAGTATATGTTAAAGAGCACATACCTATTTACTGTAGCATCAATAAAAGCTTTATTTATAATTATACTGAGATACTGGGTAATCTTTAGTCACTATGATTAAGTCGCTATGATTTCAATTGTATGGACACCACATTTTCTGTGGCAAATAAATTCTCTGCTTTGACAGCTGGTCTGTAATCAAGTTCCTCTGCAAGCTGGTGGGTTAGTACCAGAAGTCCAGTTTGTGCAAGTTGTTGGAAATTTCTGGACAATACTCATGTGTTAGCTGTGAAAGTTTAGCAACCCATTATAAGGTTTCATATTTAATTTATTTTAGAGTAGGAGGTCTGTCACATATTCCCTCTAAAAACAGACATTTCCCCCAAGCCAACTGTTCAAAATTAAACATATTTCATAAAAAAATCATTCACACTGTGATATGCTTTACTGAATGAATTAACAGAGCATTTCCCCCATTCCTCTTTAATTCATCTCATTTCAGATAAATCAAGCAAGGACATCTCTACTATGATATTTTAAAAAATTAGAATATGCCTTCTGCAGCCCACTACGAAGTAATGGTTATGCATATTACAGTCCATTTTTCTCTTACCATCGGGGAATCCATCCCAGATTTCCAATCGGTCATAGCGACAGAACGCTCCCCCTGGAGTATTTGAATCAGGTTCTAGCTCAAAGCTTTCAAATTCCAGTATAATCTCCGACATCTTTGGTGCAAAGATAATATAAGTGCATTCAAGGCTATTGGGATATTTTTCAGGGAATCCAGGGGACTTTATCACTCCACTTGATGAAGTAAAGTTTCTGGAACATTCAGGTCCTGTAAGAGAGAGAAAAATCACTTGGGTTAGCACTATGCTACTAAGCAAAGTAGTTAGCTGGAAAACAAATTAGGTCGTATTGTCTCTCCAGCAGCAAAGGTGGCTTTTCAATGAAACACCTCATTTTAATCACTGCATTAATCATTCAGCCAGCTTGTTCCTATTATTGATAGTCAGGTTTTAAAGCACAATTTGCTTATACTGTCTGATCTCTAATTTTCAATTTCTACAGAACAATATGAAAACTTGTACCAGCTCTAGAAAAAATTATGACAAATACAAAGTCATGTGGGAACAATGAAAGTGTAAGCTGCAGAAATCTCAACAGAGCCCTAGAGAAATAATTATAGCCCCTGGAAGCTCAAATCTTTAAATCTTATGGCTGACAGGCTTTTATTGGTGAAATAGAATTTTTTACGAAAGCGGATAAGTGAATTCAGTAGAGGGAGTAGTGGTTTCAGGTTCCTGGAGCACCGACTCAGTAACTGCCAGATGTGACCTATGCCTCCTTGACAAACTAAATGTGAAAGGTAATTCGTACATGTACCAAGGGTGAGTGACTCATTCTGAGTGGTGTTGACACAGGTGCACCAGTAAAATGTTGCTGTTAGTGCAGGCATGATAAACTGTGTGATTACAGGCAGTGTTGCTAGAAGTCATCTAATGGCAATGTTGACACAACAGCTCTCCCTGATCTTCCCACCATGGCATAATGGGATGCTCCAAACAGTGCTCTTGGTGGAGCAGGAAAGTGGCAGTAAAGATGCAAGGGTATACAAGGCCAGATCACTGTATTTGTCTTTGTAAATACAGGGAACTAAATCTGGAGTCCCTCTCTTGTTGACAGATCACATTTCTCCTTTCTTTAGGTCCCTCAGGAATCCTCTCTGTAGATCCCATATCTGCAGGTGCGCTCAGAAGTAAGCCGCAGGTACTGCCCACACATTCTCCCACAAGGTCAGCAAGGTACCCCTCTCTGACTTCTGACACTCCAAATTTAATGGAAAGTGATTTACAGGATTTGGGGCATTGGTGGATAGCAGCTGACCTGGGGAGTTTGAGTAGGATATTTCTGACTAAGGTCTTCGGACATGCAGTAGAGGAAGGACACAGGCAACATAGTTTGATTGCAACAAGCAGGTCTGTGCTGGAGGATGAGTGTGTGTGAGCTTTCAGTTTGAATGAGGATGCTCAGCATCCAGTCAGGAGCCTTAGAGGATTTCCAATGCTTAACACAGAACATTGACGGAAAACAGTCAGTCTGGCTTGTTGCACATATGAATATTCTTATTTCACCACAGAAAATATTTTCCTTCTGAATGTGCCAAACATATACCCCTCAAAGATTTGGCCGCCTCCCAGCTAAATTCAGCATGTAAGAGGTCTGAATGAATTTAGTCAGTTCAGGTAATTTTGTCCTTCATCAGACACTGACAGGAAATGCTAGAGCTATCACATCAATATTCAGAACACTTCATGGAGTATTTTGGAATATATAGATATTAACGCTCATGCAACCTGACCCATTCCAATTTGTAAAGTTACATTTTGCCTATAATTAAATCACCCCTTACACATTAGTTGGCTATTTCTCTTCTCTCCCTGTCATTCCCTTGTCTTCTTGTCATGTACAGAGGGTTATATTCTGGCTGTTGCTCCTCACTCCCACCAGTAGCTGCTGTTCCAGGATAAAATAGCTTTGTTATGCCATTCATAGCATAAAGTGCTCTGTACTCCTCTTGGAATCCAATAAAAGATGCAATATAAAATGTAAGCCAGGATCATTATTGCTTTATTAAATACAGCCAGATCCTGGCTGTGTGAGTGCACAATTGTCAGGCTCCTCACACTCACACATGGTATCTCAATACCATCTTGCTTTATTTCAAACATGTTCAAATCAATCTGGTGCAAGAAACAAAAACTGTTTTCAGAAGAGCTGCCTCACTAAAATGCCCTCCACAGATTTTGACCCTTTATTGACACTGTGAAGAAGCTTCAGGAGGCTACAAGGAACTCCATGAGGCAAAAAAGGTTCTAGCAGAGACCCGACAGAATGCGTGCTTCTGAGGTGGAGAAACTACATGTGTTCATGCATATGAAATAAAGGAAGAGAAATGAGCTGAATGAAAGAGAGAGAGGAGAAAAGAGCAAAGAAAAAGAGACGACATTGGGGATAATTTCATTTGCTCTTTGTAGGTGTACTGAGCTAGAAAATAATTTGACTTCTTGGTTGACACTGGCTTTTCTTTTAGTTTACACCATAAACTTAGTCGACTAAAATTAGAAATGTTGAATGTGAACTGTGTAGATCCTCTTCTAGTGAATAGGTCAATCATCCATCCTAAGGTAGGCTGACTGACAGGGCCAAAATGATGAACAGTTCAGATGGGCTAAAGGTTGGGCAATATGGGCTTCATGTTTTAGCCTGGAATTCAACTTCTTCAGTGTCTTTCTGGCTAAGGAGCTGGATAAGAAGTAAAGGCAGCTCCTACTCTCAAAGCCCATGCTTTTATCACAGTCATTATGTGTGCTGGTCTCTCCTTACAATTTCCATGGGGTGCACCATTTTAAGCATTAAGTTTAGAATTCAGCTTAGAGCACAGGTAGAGTAATGCAGACTTTCTTTTCAAAAACTAAGGATGCTCTCATAGGAACAACGGGCAAAAATATACTGTGTGCTGGAATGCAGCTCAGCACCACAGGACCTTGGGCTTGGAATCATTTTAATACTTCTAATACCTAGGAAATTATGAGTTAAGTTGTGAATATGCTAAAATGAAGCGTATTAGTCTGATGTCAGCAACTGAGCTTCACCTGCATAACAGGGTAAACTGGTCAGCTTTATTTGGTACAGAAATTAAAATGTAAATTTGGAATAGCATATATGCATTAACTCAAAAGTTAAAAAGGGTTGTGTTCCCACAGCAACTATAACTTGTATCCTTTGTGTACACACAGCATTTCTAACACTGTACCTGCTGATAACTTTCCTGCCTTAATATACAGTTTATGTGGAACGAAGTAGAGTTAAAGTTGCTCTGGGAGCCATAATTTTGAGTTTCCTGACTTCTGTGTATATAAAATCACATTCATAATGCCATCTTAATATGGTTAATGTGTATCACTGAGAGATGCAAATGACCACACAAGGAAATAAACACAACATTCCTGTCAGAGCTCTGAGTTACCACTACACTATTAGGAAATAAATAAAAGCTTTTTTCTTGAAAATGATCAGTTGCTAAAAAGGTTTGTTTCACAGGTCATTCTTTCACTTGTTCTTGTGTTTCAGCCTTATTCTTTGCGAAAGATGGTACTGTATATATAAGTACTGAGACACTTTAGGACACAGTTTCAAGAGTTTAGCCTCCTAGAGACACCAAAATAAATAGAGATATTTTTTCAGGAAAGCTTGGTGTCATGTGGATGCTGAGTTCTCTTGAAAAATGTGACCCTGAAGGTCACCAAAAGAATTTCTGGGAGCCAAGAGTGGATTCACAGACAGGGAAGATGGTGAACAAGAGGTCTGTGGCCACAATTAGCACTGTGCAGAGCAGCAACAGCATGCAACAGAAAAAAGACTTCACTACTGCACTTCTCCTCATTACCAGTACAGCTGCCATCAAGCACATGCGCTGAACACAGCTGAAAATCTGGCTCTAGTTTAGGTGCATAAAAGGGACTTGAACTGTTTCTGAAAATGCGTCACTCTCTGGGAGTGGTGTGTACTGGAAATTTGGAGTTTTGAGCTGCTTTTGTGAATATGAACATAAACATTGATGTTGAAGTCAGTATTTTTTTCTAAAGTTAAGTTTATTGTCTTTTCTGTATATTATGAGTTTTGGTCCTCTGTTCTCCAGGCATGTAATATATGAATCGTTTTATCCATCCAGATATAGGGAAGATGTATGCAAAAAAAAAAAAAAAATAGAAAGAAAAAGAGAACTTACTACCCTTCTAGCTATTGACTTGGAAAGAAAATTATCAAAGAGGGACTGTCTACAGTTCTGGTTAATCCTGGACCATTTGTTTCCCTGGGCTTTCTCTGTGCCCCATACAACAGTCTGTGCTCACCAACACTGAACCCCTGGCACAAGCATCCAGCAGGACACGCCTCCAAACAGTGTGACCTTCTCCTCTCCTTTACCTCCCAAACACAATTTTGAAAGCAACAGCAACATCATCTGCTGCCCATGTGTACTCTGGTCCTTTCCAAGCCCACAGCTCTCTCTTGGGAATGTAGAACAAAACACTAGCCAAAATAAGTCAGGGACTTGGAAGGTTAGAGCGCTGTTAAGGCAGTAACATTATAAATCATATAGCAATCATTATCACCAAAAAAAAAAAAAAAAAAAAAAAAAAGGAAGAAAGCTTTTGGTTTTAAGAAGGTCAAAACAAACAGCTGATGAAGACTATCACATTACACCCAGAGCAGTCAATCTTCAGATGCAGCTGACCCATTGGATTCATAATGATTTACACCCATTAAAGACATGCCCCACCTTGGAATGACAAGGGTAATACAATTTTCTCTTTCAAGCATTTTCACAAATTCCCCACATCCCAAAGAATTATGGTGAACTTTTTGATGAAACCAAAAATCACAAGTTATGAGCTACATAACAATGAATCGTTTCTCACCTCTTTTGAAAACTTCATAGCGGATTGAAAATCCTGCTCCATGTGTCTCATAGTCGGAAACAAATTTAATAAAAAGATATGGTCCCGAAGACACTAAAGGAGGGGGAGCAATTTTTCCACAGTACTTTCCCCATAAGCGTCCTTCAGCATTATCTCCATCAATCACTTCAACATAATCATACCTGGTAGATAAATGGAAGGAAGAAACTTTTAACTTCCAGGAAAGAAGGAGACCTAATTAATTTAGAAACCGTAACACAACACAGATAATCAAGAAAAATGCTAGCTTGCTTGGAAAATGCATTATGCTGAAAGATGTAAGCAAAATGAAATAATTAAAATGGACTACATTATGTTTGTAGACATCATCTGGCAACATGGAACTATTAGGAAGAATGGTGTCCATTATGCTTGCAGACAATGTCAGCTAAAGTAACCAATTAACAAAAAAAAAAAGGAAATCTCATGAGCACAATTCTGTATTATTAAATTGTGTTCCTTTGTCTGTGTAGTGTTGTTACCAATACATAATGCATAGCATTCTTTTCAAACTGTGAAGTTCTGTGATGAATTCAAAAATGTCTTTTTGGCTGGATCTCTTTATGAACAATACTTTGATTTCCATATGCTGTCCTTCAAACATATGTCCACAGAATAATAAATAAATCCCTAAACATTAGATTTTGTTCAAAACTCCACCATGTTTCAGATCAGTGATAGAAAAAGCTGTCATTTTCCTTGTTAGCTGGACAAATAGATTGGAGCAAATAACAAAATCCGCGTCAGCCACAGCACTTGCTTTTTCTCAGACAAAACTTGTTTCACTACAAATCATCTTTGCTTAGGTATTTGAATCAAGAAGTGCACATTATGATATTCATTACTTGTACAGCATGTGATTACTGAACAGGGTGGGCTAAATCCTTCCCTGGTTACTTGCTTGATTCCTAAGGACTTGATAAGAAAAGGTATAATATACGCAATGATGATCGGTGGCAACAGTTTTCCTGTGAGCAACAGCCATGTTAGGGTTCCTCAGCCCTGTCACCAGAGATGCCAATATGTAGGGCCTGGTTGGACAGATGTGGTGTCTGAGGGCTGAGGAGTGCCCAGCAGCTCGGTGTGCTGAGCCAGCTGAGAGAAAACAAATGAGAATAAAAGTCATGGAGAGGCAGAAGCTGAAGGTGCCGAGACAGGTCTGTTTTTAAGTTTTATTAGCAGATGATTTAACTTGACGCCAGATTGGAAAGGAGGAGCAGACACAATTTGTAGAATCAGTTTAATCTTTTCATAAATGGTGGTGGCATTTGAAGCCTGGGTTGTGCTCTGGGCCTCTTTTGCGGCAAAAGTCTTTCCTCTGCCCCTGTGCCTTTGTGTCTCAGCCGTGCTGCCATTTTATTTAACAAGTTGCTGTTAGCCAGACAATCTCATTTACTTTTCATTATCCTACTATGACTGCCATTAATTTGTTTAGACCTTTATTCTACTGTTATGTTCACTGAAATGTTCTGAGCCTATTAATATACAAGGAAGAGCTAAAAATGACAGGGCAATAAAGTGTGTCTGACATTTTTCAAGAGATTGAAGGAAAAAAATGTCTTCATGATGACCAATGTCATTTTTAACAACTCTGCTCCAAACCATCCAGGGCACATTACTTATGTTTACATGAAGCCCCATGAGACAACTGCAAAGATGATATCACTAGTTAAAGTGGACGGCTTAAGGCTCCTTAAATTGAAAATGACATTACCTCATCAGTTAAAACTGTGTGCCAGCTTTGGTGTATATCAAGTAGAAAATAAAGCTGACACTGATGGAACTGTAAGCATTAACATATGTGAAATACTGTGTTAACTGCATTTCCTCTTATGTATTTGATTTTTCTAGTAGTAATTGCTCAGCTAGTTAGCTTCAATGTCCCATTTCAGATTGTTAGAAATACCAACCAGAAACGTTCATTTCTGAGATGATTTTTCAGATACTTTAAGTAGCCTGAATTTTTTTTTAATTAGACTTCTGTAATTTCTTTATGATACATGTATAACAAGATTTGAAAGTTGGACAGAGAGTTGTAAAAACACTTCAGAGTTGTTTATATTTTTTCTTTTTTTCTTCCCTTTAGAAATATACCTAAGAATACTAGCTCTAGGTTCCCTGCAAGACCTATTGGAAGTACTCAGGAATGCAGGCTGCTAATTTTTGTACTTTAGGGAAAAAATGAATGTCAAGAATTTTTAACAAGAAAACCTTTCTCCAAATAATTAACTGCTTTTTAAAGAGAAAGAGTAAGCACATAAAACCACAGCATCTGAGTGACAGTCTCCACTTTCTCTCCATGATTATTTCACCAGTTTCCCAGGCACTATTCATTGCTCAAGCCTCAAGAGTAGTTAATTTTTCAAATTAATATGAAGAATAACCCTATTTCTGAATTAATAAATGATAGGAGAAAAAATTAACTAAAAATGCTAAGCAAATTTTTACATGTTTTTTTACTTCATGTATAAAGAAGAAAAAAAAATTCCAGAATGCTTGAAATCAGTATTTTTATTCTGTTACATCTTAAAAATAAATAATCTTCTATATTCTTACTAAGTCTTTTGTTTACAGACAAAAAATAATTAACCTGTAAGTACCAATTCTGCTATTATATGAAGTAAATTTGGCAAAAAAATATTAAAATTAAATTCTATCACTCTCCTAAGTTTCCTCCTTCAGAGTGATAGCCTTCCCACACCTTTCCACTGCCCCTTATAGTGACAGCATTGTAATTTATGGTGCTCTTTCTGTCTGCCGTTCAATTGTAAATGACACAATTTGGTTACTAAAAGGATGTCTTCTAATGGATTTTGCAAGTTATAGGTCATGCAGCCCTGTGGAAGACTGGAGGATTTTTGAATTTTTTATTTTGTTTGTTTGTTTTTTTTTTTCTTTGAAAAATTACTGACAGAGAGAAAAGAAGTTTAGCTGTAAGACAATGGTTACGAAGTAAATTTGAAAAGGGGATTTGAAAAAAGAGATCAGCCCTACAGCCTTCATATGCTAAGGATCATGTCTTTCACTTGGCAGCTAACAAACGGATTTGGATTCTCCCACACTGGTGGCAACAGCTGATATCTGGGCTGCTGTAAGTGAGTATCTATATAATTTTTTTCTTAGGGAGATGAAATTATTCTGGATTTTACTAGTTTATACTTGGAAACCAATGTCCTACTGTCATTTTTGCACTTTTCAAAATCCTACCAGAGACCATAGTGTATCACAAACAACTGTTCTTGTAAATAGGAGAAAGTACATTCAAACTTGAAAATGGAGTTGCTGCCAAGGAAGCTCAGAAAGCAGCTTGCATCTCCCTCTGGACTTGGTAGCAGTTCTTCTCCATAAGTTTGTCAGGAGAAGATGCTGTGCCAGGGATGCAGTTGGCACATTGGCATCCCTGTGAGGAGACTGAATGTGTCACCTCTGCAGCGCCCAGACAGTCTTGGCACGCAGCCCAGAATAATGAGTTTGCAAATTTGGATTTCCCACTTGGCAATTCTTCGCTCAGCTACTGCTGCCAATGGTGTGGCAAATATTTCCTGTAATGTTATAGTCCTTTAGGGTTTATGGCACAGAGATGTAAATATAAACATGGCACTAACCATTGAGTGTAGTTTCAGGTGAAAGACTAGAGCATGAGTTCACGTGCAAAAATAGATGCCTGCCCAGAAGAGGGGTTAATCACCAAGTACGTTCATGAAGCCACTATGCCACTATGCAAAAAGCATTCCCTTTTTGCTTGTCTCGGTCTTTCCAGATATCCCATTTTTGTTTGCTTTCTGTATGCACCCTCTGTGGTCTGCAAGGACTGTGCGTGGCTGTCAGCTGGGAGCCTGCTGAAATGCGCTGCAGAGCGCACACACTCCCCTCACTCCTCCCAGACAGTGCCTGAACATGCCATTACGGTCCTAATTTTATGGTTCAGTAAAACAATGCCTGGGACAGATTCCCACCGGAAAGATGAGAGAATCTAGAATTCGTCTACAAATTCTTGAAGGAATTGCAAGAAATTTGCTCTTTTTTTTGGAAAATATAAGTATCATGTTTGTGGAAAAGGCCAAGCAATGCCTATAAAATGAGCAGTGGGCAATGAAAAACATAAACAGCTGCAGAATACAGATTTTGGTTAATATTCTATTTCCAGTTTCTAGTAGGTGATAGCAGTGCTTACATCTGGTTTCAGTTCTGAACATGCTGGCGACCCCTGAAGTGCACCATAGCACCTTGTACTACAGAAAGTGAAGTGAAAGTGCTGGAAAGCCCTGCCTGCTGCTGAAGCCATCCACTCTGCCAAGCTACGCTCCGTTTCGACACATTTTCCTATTATTAGGGCAGTGAGATCTTATGCCTTTTGCCTAAAAAAATTCCTTCCCAAGATATATGCAGAACTCAGCTGAAATCTAAATATCTGCCATTTTACCTTACAAAACAATCAGTGAAGCATATACAACTATACCTTATATCTGAATATGCCATACTTTTCTGCAGCCTACTATGATATGCATCTATAGGGTGGTTATGAGTATTTTGGTTATTCACCTGTTAGAATGGAAAGATTTTCCACCTCTCTGTTTCTTTTATCACACTGATTCCACTTCCACCCAGCTGCTAAATCTCTTCCACCAGCTGCTAAATCTCTTCCTGATATGAACTATCCACCTTGGTCAGACTATCTTTGGTTCTGAGAATTTGCTTTTTAGTATGTAGCCTTCATTTGCCTTTATTTTATACAGATTTTTTTTTTTTTTGAACTCCTTACAAGGCTCCATTTTAGCTGAACAGAAGGCATTGCAAGAGGAAATCTAAATAAAGAGTTTCAAGTAGTTCTGCACCATGGATTCGTGCCCCATTAGTGACTGAGAGTTAGCGGTGTGGGATTTACTGCAGTGCTTGTGGCACAAGGCAATCTGTATCCCAGAGCTGAAAGCTTAAGAACTGCAGACACTCGAGGGACACCAACCTCAATCCCAGTTTATTAGCAACAAGAAAAAGAAGCACATGCTGTTAAAATAAAGAATTAAGCATAATGTTTTGCTGCCTGTAACCTCGGCGTCTGTCAGGTTGCTCTCCATCTGAGCTCTGCGCAGCCTGACTGCTCTCCGGGCCCTCCTGTGCCCCACCCTGGCAAGGGTGTTGGAGG